ATATATAGGATAAGTAAATGCGTGTTTGCATGATGACTATTTATCGAAAATATCACTTTGTGAGTGTCAGTCCATAAGATAAAACAGATGTTTCTTCTTCGTGTACCGATAAAATAAGTGTCTTACTGGTTTTAAATGTATCAGTGTTAATTTTGTTTCTCGCATAAAAATCGATAAATGTCCTTTCTTTATTTTTTCTTTCTTTAGTTCTTTACTCGGTACTAGTTCTTAAAGTAACAATAATCCAGTTATTGGAACTTTTTATTACCTGGTATAAATTATCCATAGGTAATAATTTACACTCATAAGTATTTACACATATTTACAAAACCTTTTAATTACAATAAAATAAATATTTTAATCTTTATAATTACCGTATTAAGAGTATTTTATTTATTTTTATTTCCATTATTTGTACGGTTGTTTGTTCAAGGTACAGACAGCATTTATGCAAAATCTCGTATTTCTTGTTTCGTTCCTCTGTATACTTATTTTCATCACTGGATCATTGTGTGTAACTTGTGACTAAATTCAAGGTGTTTCTCGTCGAACAATAAAATCGAGTCGAAATTATACGTGGTGGAGCCACGCTGTAGCTAAATTATGGTTGCATCACGAATGGGTTGGCTCGACCGGGGAAAGATCATGCTCTCACATAATACCAGCGTGAAATAACAGCTTAATGCTGCTGCGTTTCGTATGATGAGTGTAGAGAACCGGAGACTCGTTTTACTGGAAACGAGGCATTCTATCATAGTCCTAAGGAGTCAAATAATATAGTTGCAGCATAGCTCTACCACGTATATATATTACATTTCATTTACACCCTTAGTGGATTAGCCTTTAAAACATCTTAAATTAGCCACGGCACTACCAACGACGATACTGTTTCAATGAATCATTTAGAAGCATTTAATCAAAATCATAAATCGTGTCAAAGCGCTATAATTTATATCTAAATGCTGAGAAAATACTAAATTATAAAAATATATACAAATGAATTCTATTTCTTCATTTTACCTCGGAGCCACACTTCAAACTTATTTACTTTCCATCAAAAGAGATAGATAGATAAATAGATTATCCATTCACAGCCTCTATAAGTCCACTGCTGAATGTCTCATAGGAGTTATTTTGCCATAGTAGCCACGTGTTAGATTATTAAAGATAGTGAGATGTGCAGATAATTTAATAACTGGTTTGTAAGGTAGTTGATATATTTAATTTTACTACATACCCACAAAACAAGATTATTAGTACGTAGAATTTAAATTAAGTTTGTAGCATGTTTTCTACTTCCGGTTCCTGACTCACTAGCATATCGAATTATAAGATGCTGACTAATTACTTACACAGCTACTACCATTTATTGGATTTATAAGACAATTTAATAAGAAGAAATAAATGACAATTAAATAGTAACAACTGACCACTTAAGCTTGTCAGCTTGTGGCGAACCTAACATAGATGTTGTAAAGGTTTTAAAACGTGGTAGAGCCATGCTGCAGCTATATTAATTGTATAGTTGTAGCACGAATCGGTCGGCTCAACTGAGGAAGGACCATGCTCTCACAGAATACCAGCGTAAAATTGCTTATGTGTTTCGTATGGTGAGTGTAGAGAACCGGCGACCCTTTTTACTGGAAAACAGGCATTCCATCTTAGTCTTCACGGTCGACAACGCATCTGCATTTTGATTCGCAAACTAGGATAGATGTAGATGTCTATAGGTCACAGCATCCACTTACCATCATGTGGACTGTGTGCTCGTTTGTCACCCACATTCTATCTATAAAAAGGGAGAAAATAACATAACTTTTTAATTTAAAAAAATTGCTCAAGATAATAAAGTTCTATGCATTTCGCGAAATATCTTTTAATATTAATCATAAATTAAAGTAAAATAAGTTCCATAAAATATTTATAAAAGATATTAATATTAATAAGCTAATATCTGCGTGTTAAATAAAAATTATGCGTCTTACTTATTTTGAAGAGCACTTATGAGGAGGGAGCTCCTTTCATTTCGTGCTCTATCAGCGTCACTATTAATCCCAACATCACAACACTAGAAAAAACACACCAATGTTAATAATAGAATACGTTTTAGGCCATAAAATGTTTATTATTTTTTTTACATATGAATATAAACATATTTAAACCGTCTCATCTCTCGTTAAGCACAGAAAACTTTTGTCGTATTTAATCGCAGCATAAAGCTGCTTTCTCGGCATCTCCAAAAACCCTACAATTTCAATTCTGGATTCGCTCTTTTGCAGAGACTGTATATTGGAACGAAGTTCCTTATCGGACGGTACGGATTTCTCGGATGGGAGCTAGGTGACAAAAATGGTAAGATTTTTCCGTCACTACCCTTTGTGTCATAGTGTAGACGGCTTTGGCGGCGAAATAAGGAAATGAGATGGAATAATATCCATCTTCCATGCCATGAAAGAAATACTATTTTATTTCAAATGACGCTTCATTTTAATCGACGCTAGTAATTCATTTATTTGTGTTTGTTAATCAATAATATAATACCTACGTTTATCAATAATATACTACGCAAGGAACTTCGTTCCAATCGAGTGTTACACGACACTCACTCATTTTATATATTTAATTCCTAATTTCGTCGCATCGCAAAGTACAGTATTATATAAAAGGGACACCTTAAACCTGACAGTGTTCCTATAATAAAATAATATTATAAAACTTTAAAATGTGTGTACGCTTTAGTAGGAAACTCTGATTACTAGTGATTTATTTTCTATCTAGCTGTGCCTACAACTTCATACGAGCAAAGATGTATCTTCTACGCATCCTATTAATTTTTCTTCTGGCTTATTCGACACTAAATTTTAGCCCAAGCTTATCTAAAGACATCACTGAAAACCACATACAAATTGTTTCAGATATTGTGGAGATTAGCGTGCACGAACGCACAGACAAAAGGTTTGTTTACGATTTCATAATATATATGTATATAGTTACAGTAGGAAAACGTCACAATTATCTTGACTTGCGGGGATTTTTTTTAATAAGTCAATTAAATTATTACAAAACTTTATATAAACTCTTAATAACATATTAATAAAATTGAACTGTCTGTCTGTAATATTGAGATAACTGACTTCTTTTAAGCTCAGGGGTTATTTGCAAATAACCATTTTTAAATTTTTTGTCTGTCTGTCTATGCGGTCTTATCTTCAGAACGGTTGAACCGATTGTGATTAAACATTACGAACAGACAGAGAGTAATACCAGGAGGTAGATCCCTCTCGGCTATATTTTATCTGAAAAACGTTTTTTTTTTTCAAAAAAGGGAAAAATTGATAAAATGAATGGTTATTTGATGACTTTAAATCTATCTAAATAACGCTATATTAATAGATTTATCCAGTCGAAGCCAGGGCAGGTAGCTAGTCCACAATATTATAGATAATCATAATGAAAATAATTTAATACTTTAGTTGGAATTTGTGTTTTTGTTGTAAGTAGTTTTACTTCTTCACGTTAGTAGTATTCTTATAGAGAGTATAAGTCTTTCCATAAGCGAGACGACTCATTTGTGCTATATCTAAAATATAGTTGTAGGGTGACGCTATCATAATAAATATGGCTGCCCATTGCCACTTCAAAACTTTAGAAACATAGATAAAAGTATAGAAAAAAGCATAGATAAAAGCTGTTGACATTGTTATAACCTAAACTGCAGTAGCTTGTTGAAAACCGTGCTATGTTGAGTAAGCTGTGCTATCTACATATGTATGTTATTAATATAAGACGTAGATGCACAGACCGCGGCCCGTCGATCGAATACTGGTGGCCCGCCGACAGCAAAAATAATACTCTCGTACATTCGAAAAATATTGAATTATATTCCAGAATAAAACCAAAAAAATTATGTTCGAAAAGTAATTTGAATCTCGCGCGCGCGCTCTTAAGTGCGCTTATCGGTGCGATGTGCATGCGTCGGTAACAGCGGTCGGTAATGTTCGTGCTGATCTCGGTTAAATTCGTTTTCTTGAGGAACCGCCGCGGCCGGCGGCGCGGCAACGACGGCAGTGCGGTGGCGGCTTATCCACGGGTTATATTGTTAGAGAAAGCGAGATAGTAATAGTCCCGAATTCCCGATTGCTCGCGTAGGTAGATACACGAAGCTTCCAGTGCTGGTTTCGTGATTTCTCCAGACAGTTTTCGACTCTATGCGCGCGGTATAAAAGCCACGCTAACCGCAGCGACCGACAGTTCGGTTTTAATTTGAGTGAAGTGTCAATAGTCCTAGTGTAGATTCTAACTCGACTAGCCGGTGTCATATATTTTGATCCACATTCAACGTAGATTTCCCGTCAAGTGCCGTGTATAATTGTGTTGTGAAATCGTAAGTAAAACTCTGTTATTAATAAGTGTTTCCCTATCTATTTAATCAATTATTTTTGGTAATTTAAAAAAGGATGGGTAATTTAAGTAGGTACTGTAATTGTTTTTAGGTGCTGTGTTAATCCTAGCCAGGATTAGAACGCAACATGGACAAGCCAGGACCTAGTAAAAATCGTAAGGTTAAAGATGAAAATCGGCAGTTTCAAGAAATTTGGACTGAGAAATACTTTTTTGTATGGTCGCATAACAAAGTCGTTTGTTTAATTTGCAAGAATTCTGTTGCGATTGCAAAGGAATATAATGTAAAAAGGCACTATGAAACGCAGCATCCTACTTTTACCAAGTTTACAGGCGAATTAAGAAAGCAAAAAATGTTGTCTTTAAAACGGGAGCTTATTGGTCAGCAAGTTATGTTTACAAAACCCATTCAAGATTCAGAAACAGCTACAGAAGTTAGTTATGAAATTTCGCGAATGATAGCAAAGCGAAGTCGCCTCTTCAATGATGGGGATTTTGTAAAAGAATGCATAGAAATTGCCGCTAAGAAAATGTGTCTAGAAGCAGCAAAAAAGTTTGAGAAAATTCAACTGAATCGTATGACTATCCAAAGATGAATTATGTCTTTGTCAGGTAATATTGCGGAACAATTAAATGAAAAAACTAAGACCATTGAATTTTTTTCATTAGCACTCGACGAATCCACTGATATTAGTTCCACAGCTCAACTTCTGATATTCATACGAGGTGTTACTCAAGATTTTGAAGTCTTAGAAGAGTTATTAGGAATGTGTTCATTGAAAGGTCAAACCAGAGGAGTTGATATACTCAATGTACTTATGGATGAGTGTTCAATAACTGATTTGGACTTATCAAAATTATCGGAAGTTGCGACTGACGGTGCTCCTTAGATGATTGGTGTCAATTCTGGGCTAGTTACTTTGCTGAAAAAGCATTTGCAAGAAAAAAACATAAACGCTGAAGATCCCGTGCAGTTTCACTGCATTATACACCAAGAAGCCCTCTGTTCTAAAAAAATTGAATTTCAAAATGTCATGAAAGTGGTAGTTTCCACTGTAAATTTCATAAAATCACGAGGACTCAATCACAGGAAATTCAAACAATTCCTTGATGACCTCGAAAGTGAATATGGAGATTTACTGTATTATACAGAAGTAAGGTGGCTAAATCGTGGATTGATTGAAAAGCAAAAGGATGTCCCGGAACTTAAAAATCCTAATTGATTGTGTGATTTGGTTTTTTAGTTGATATTACAAATCATTTGAATTTCTTTAACACATGGCTTCGAGGCTTTATTTCATGCCGGCACACCGCCTGCAACTTTACAAGGCGCAGGTTCGGCCTCACATGGAATACTGTTCCCATCTCTGGGCAGGGGCTCCCCAGTGCCAGCTCCTTCCACTTGACCGCATCCAGCGCAGAGCGGCTCGAATCGTCGACGACCGAGCCCTTTCCGATCGGCTCGATTCATTGGCACTGCGAAGAGATGTTGCATCTCTTTGCATTTTCTTTCGCATCTACCATGGGGAGTGCTCTGAGGAATTGTTCGGATTAATCCCAGCCGCCAAATTTCACGAACGCACATCGCGGCAGAACTCCCGATACCATCCACACCATCTGGATGATTGGCGGTCCACCACTGTGCGATTTAGAAGATGTTTTCTTCCTCGCACAACTTCCTTGTGGAATAGTTTACCACCAGGGATTTTTCCGGACCGATACGACTTAGGGACCTTCAAGAAAAGAGCCTACTCCTTTTTAAAAGGCCGGCAACGCATCTGCAATTCCCCTGGTGTTGCGGTTGTTCATGGGCGGCGGTAGTCACTTACCATCAGGTGAGCCGCATGCTCGTTTGCCCCCTCTCCTATAAAAAAAAAAAAAAAAAAAAAAAAGGCAAAAATCATCCCAGCTCTACGCTCATGTATCATCCTTTCAATGCAAGCTGACACTTTTCAGATCGCAATTGAATTCTGGAAATGACAATCATTTTCCGAATTATAAGAAAATGGCTGAAAAATTCAACAAAACTGCGATGAATTTCAGTTATGTAGAAAAGCTAGATATGTTGATTCAATCTTTTCAAGACAGATTTTCGGAGTTTAAAAAAGTGAAACCTCTGTTGGACATATTCAGTAATCCTTTCACGATTTCAGTTGAAAATGCGCCAGAGTCAATGCAGTTAGAAATTATCGACATTCAAAACGACCAAGATTTACGCAACAAATTCAACGAAGGAGACTTGCTGAACTTTTACCGCTGCATTGATAAAAATACGTACAAAGAGTTGCGCATAAACGCTCTGAAATGTGCCAGCTTATTTGGTTCTACCTATATATGTGAACAAACCTTTTCAATACTAAATAATAATAAAACAAAAAATCGAAACCGCCTTGCAAATGAAAGTTTGGAAGCAGTTTTACGTGTTGCTACAAGTAAATTTGAGCCAAATATAAAAAAGATTGTAAGCACTATGCAGTGCCACGCTTCAAATTAATTAATTCTTTTTCAATTTTAATACATTATTATCAATACTTTATTGCCTTTAATTATTGAATAAAACTACTTTTACGGATTTTATCGCGTTTAATTAAGTTATTTTATATTCCCGACGTTTCGGATGCTTTCCAGCAACCGTGGTCACGGGGGACTGAGGTAATTGACGTCTCGATGTCGAAGTCAACCCGGAGTACCTTCAGCTTTTTAATTATTAATTTTGGTCCGATCTACGCAGAATGAACTAACTGTGTCTTGAAGTCTTGCAGTGGTATGCTTGGGTTTAGTTTTAAATTTATGAATTACAGGATCCCAAGCAGGTGGTAGTACCCAGCCCAGCAGGCACACGCTCGACTGTGTACTACTATATGTCAGAGGTGTCACAGACAAGATTGGCTACATCTTGAAGCGAGATTCTATTAGAACATTCTTCAAGCCGCCGAAGAAGATTAGTCAGTTCTTACCATCCGTCAAGTGCAATATTCCTTTACAAGATGCAGGAGTATACAAGCTTGATTGTGAGTGTGGTCTCTCATATTATATAGGGCAAACAAAACGATCAATAAAACCCGCGTAAAAGAATTCATATTCGTTCCGGGAAGTCTGCAGTTTGTGATCATATCCTAGACGGCCCCCGCCATTACATTAGATTTGATAAACCACAAGTTCTCGCGAAAGAACATCGATTCCTGCCAAGGATGATACGCGAGGCTATTGAAATAAAAATACATCCTAATTTCAATAGAGAGGGAGGAGTTTTAGTTTTTTTTTTAATTATAATTTTGATTATATATATATATATATATATATATATATATATATATATATATATATATATATATATATATATATATATATAATCATTCTTATAATTTAAAAAAAAAAACTAAAACTAGTAACTGGTATCGTGCCAAGAACAAGTTATTCTTATTGAAAATATTTTTTTACTATTACGACTTGTTCGAAAAAAAACCTCTATCTATAGATATTTGGCAGAAGGTTTATGGTCTGTGATCTGATCTCAGAGTAATTACTATAATATGTAACTAGTTACTTACTCCAAGGATCTGGTGATAAATAATAATTGTAGTTCGATATTCTTGATAGATAGATATTATATAATTAATCAAATACGAATATTTGCTTTTCGGATCTGGTTTTGGTATGTATCCGTATGTCTAATCCTGATTCCTAGCCTACCTCTAAGCCTAAGACGTGGCGTAGTGGCCCGTTTTCCATACTTTCAGAGTGGTAGCCACCCATTACACTAAAAGAAGAGTGCGGGTATCTCATACACGCCAAACGCTCCGCTCCGATGCTCTCCACAACGGCCTTACGTTAACTTTTTTTTTATAGGAGAGGGGGCAAACGAGTATGCGGCTCACCTGATGGTAAGTGACTACCGCTGCCAATGAACAGCTGCAACACCAGGGAGGGAATCGCAGATGCGTTGCCGGCTTTTTAAAAAGGAGTACGCTCTTTTCTTGAAGGTCCCTAAGTCGTATCGGTTCTGAAAAATCGCTGATGGTAAACGATTCCACAAGGAAGTCGTGCGAGGAAGAAAACATCTTCTAAATCGCACAGTGGTGGACCGCCAATCAATTCCTCAGAGCACTCCCCGTGGTAGATGCGAAAGAAAATGCAAAGGGATGCAACATCTCTTCGCAGTGATAATGAATCGAGCCGATCGGAAAGGACTCGGTCGTCGACGATTCGAGCCGCTCTTCGCTAGATGCCGTCAAGTGGAAGGAGCTGGCACTCGATATGTCGACTCCGAGAATTCCGATACTGGCTGAGGCAAGAAGGGGTGCCTTGAAACTGAGGAGATACGACAAAGGGGTTCTTTTTAGCGGTAAACGCGCAAACTTGTGTCTTCTGAGGATTAAACTGGACTAGATTTAGTAGCCCCCAATCCGAGACTTTGTTCAGCAAAGACTCCACTTCAAACACAAGTTTGTTCCGGTACTCGGCGACGTTTTCCCGAGAAATATTGGCACGGCCGGTGTATAGAGCATCACCAGTGCTGTCATCCGCATAGCAATGAATGTTACCAGTTAGCAACATATCATTGATATGCAGAAGAAACAGCGTTGGTGATAGCACACAGCCTTGTGGAACACCAGCGTTAATAGGCTTGTAGTCGGAGCATGCACCGTTTACAACGAACTTGATGCTCCGATCTGCAAGGAAGCTGGTGATCTAATCGCACAATTTCTCGGGAAGCCCATAGGAAGGGAGCTTCGAAAGAAGCGCTTTGTGCCAAGCTCGATCGAAGGCCTTCGCAATGTCCAAACTAACGGCCAACGCCTCTTGGACTTGGCCGTTAGTTTGGAAATTAGACTATTGCTTCTGCTCATCTATGGGTCAGGTATCACCAGCTGATCGACCCCGACGAAAACCGTATTGGCGGTCACTAATCAGCTGGTGATCCTCAAGGTACCGCATGAGCTGGCAGTTAATAATTGATTCCATTATTTTGGAGAACAAAGAGGTGATCGCGATAGGCCTATAGTTGGACGGGTCTGAGCGGTCGCCTTTTTAGGGATCGGGTGGACAAAAGCTGTCTTCCATGATTTCGGGACTACGCCTTGGGAGTAGGAGTACCGGAAAAGACGAGTTAGGACCGGTGCCAACTCCGGAATAAACGTCTTTAGCACAATTGGGGGGATTCCGTCAGGCCCACTCGACTTCTGGATGTCCAGGGAGAGGAGTGCTTTGCGAACCGAGCGCTGTGAGAACAGCACATCCGGCATGGAGCACTCACACCGCGGGACGGTCGGCGGTGTTTTCCCCCCGTCATCAAGAGTCGAGTTGGACGCAAAAAGGGAGCCTAAAAGGTCGGCTTTGCCTTTTGCGTCTTGGGCCAGTGAGTCGTCCTCCCTGTGCAGAGATGGTAGTGATGGCTTACAGAAATTCCCTTGGACAGCCTTCGCGAGAGACCAGAATGCACGGGTTCCCGAAGGAATGTGAACTAGTTTCTCGCCAATTATGCCTATGTGCTCTGACTTTGCCTTGGCAATAACTCTTTTGAAGGACCTGGAGGCGAAGTTATACTTCTTTTTAAGTGTGCTGGTGTTTACATCCCGAGTCGCCGAAGTCGCAGCCCAGGCTTGATAACACTCCTGCTTACTGCGTAATGCAGTCTTACAGGAGCGACCAAACCAAGGCTGAGATCTGCCTCCGATGGGTACCGCAGATGATGGAATAAATAGTTCCATTCCCAAGCAACAGCGCTGGGATCATCCGGCAAGAAGCAAACCCGCCCCCATTTGCACCCGGTAGGATGCAAAGAAAGGCCGCATTCCGTATCCAAATCCGCCGACCTGTAATGCCAAACACGGCGGTAACCTGCAGAACGTAACCGCGAGGGGAGCGTGAGTGGCACCACACTCCGGAT